ATGATTAATTCCTCTTCGATCCAATAAATTCCTCATCACCATTTTCTATCAGTGTTTGAATAATCCTAATCTGTAATATCATACAATTAAAATTAATATTCATCATTGCAATCTTCAAATTATTTAATAAAAAATTTGAAAACTTCAGAAAATCAAAATTTTAATAGGAAAATTTTTCATTCAAATTAGACAAAAAAAAAAAAGAATAAAAAAGAAGAAAAAAAGATGCATCACTTAACTAATTCGAATTTTTCGCATTGAACTTTTTCAAGAAATTCTTTCGTTTGTTTATGTAATGCTTTCTCATTTCTAAGTTCCAAATATACATCATCAAGCTAAATTATATTTCATTTAAAAATATATTTCAATAAAAAAAAACGACAATTTTTCATCATCAAATTTAGATTAATTTAAAAAAGATTTAAATGAATGAATGATTGAAATTATTACTTTTAATTAGTAGCCTAATTCGTTAAAATTATTAGAAAATAGCAACATTTATCATTCTGTTTTTTTATTTTTTGCTATTTTACTAAAAAAAAGTTGAATATTGAAAAGTTGAAAAATTTCATTAATATCAGTGCTAAATAATTATTTACCATAATTAAAAGAATAAAGTAAGCGTTGCAAAATTTAAAAAATTTTTCAATAATTTGACAAATTCAATTTAAATCTTGAAATAAGTTATGCAAAATGTAGAATAATTGCCTTTTTTAGAAGATCATTGTAAGTGTCCAATTTTTCAGAGTCATTCATACTGCTACTATCAGAATACGTGTCAACAATTATGCTTCTCCTGTCACCAATATCATCATGAAAATAGAGTGATGCTACAATGTCATCAGGTTTTGATGGCTTACGACATTCTGGACATGTCTCCTGCTCCTTAAATGATCTTTTTTTTTTAAAAAAAAATCTTAAATAGATAAATTTTAATAGATTTAAAAGAAAATTATTTAAAATATTTAACCTATTTCAATGTGAATCTGTTTGAAATGATCGACGATTTAATAAATTCATAAAATTTTCATTCTATAATTTAAAATATATTTGATAAATTTCGAAACAAGCAAGTGCCAAATATAAACATTTTATCAATTATACCAAAAACAAAAAGGTTAAATTAAAAAAAGAAGAAATTAATAAAAGTTCAAGGAAAGGATGATGACTGAAAAAATGTCACTTACAGTAAGCCAATATTTGATACAACGAAAATGGAATAAATGACCACAACGAAGTGCCGAAATATCCTTCATGGGCATCTTCTCCAAACAAATTGTGCATAAACTAAAATTTGGCAAAATTTTACCATTTCAACCTTTAGAATTATACTAATTGTAACCTTTTAACCTTTTAACCCTTCAAATTACGCCAACATCGACATGTATTTTTTTAATATTTAAGTATAATTTAAAACTTATCATCCTATCTTGATTATTGATTGATAATTTATGCTGAAAAAGAAAATAGAAAGATAATATTTAAAGTAAAAAAAATTTTTTTTACCCTTTTGATTTTTGACGTCCCAATAATTGTCCCATAATTGATTATTTAAATTTTCTTTTTAATTTTTGTTTGTCTTTTTTTTGCCTTTTTGTTTTTCTGTCACACTTGACAACTCGTAACTTCTTATTGGCTTAGGCTAACACTGAAAGACATATAACAATGTTAAATTCGTTTTTTCAAAATGATAAAATATTCAAAACGATAAAATAATTTCGCCTTTTTATAATTTCTTTTTTCTTTTTTTTTGAAAAAAAAACTAATAATAATAATTTTTTTTAAAATATTGAAATATTTATGGAAAAAAATTTTGAAAATTGGGAAAAAAAGAAAAAGAAAGGGAAAAAAAACGAAATAATTCATTTTATATTAAAGTATTATGAATTTATATATATATATATTCTTATATAATATTTCGATATAAGTATAATTTCTATACAAATATTTCCTATATATAATATGTTTGCACTATTTTATTTTAAAAATATAAATAAAAAGAAAAATTTCGACTGAAAACAAAAGAAAGAAGAAGGGACTGAGAGAAAGAGAGAGGGAGAGAGACGGTGAGAGAGAGAGGAGGGAGGGAGGAGGGAGGAGGGAGAGGGAATTGTTCATCGTTGTATTCAACTGCATTACTTAAAAAAAAAAAATTACAAGTAATAAATGATGATGAATAAGAAGTAAGGAATGTTTATTGAGTAGATATTATCTATATTATATATTGGTATTGAATGATCAAAGAGAGATCAAAGATTATCTCATCGATCAGATCATAAATACGATCATTGCTGTGACATTGGACAATAATAATAGTTATCAGATAATTGTTATTAATGGTTCATACATCTTTTATTTATTTATTTATTTATTTGTTTATTTATTATATGCATTTAGTATTGTCACATATGTTGATAATGTTTACTTGTGTAATCAAATACTGATAAATAATCAGCATTACAGCATGATATCAGCTTGTTTAATTGCAATTTTTTTGAATTATTTAATTTTTATATTATAATAAAACATAATAAATATGCAATAATTACCCATTGAAATTTATAAAATTTAAATTTCTGTCATTTAAATATATGCAATTCACAAATTAATGTTTTTGCCATTTTTGGATATGCATAGTTTCGCACGTAGCATTATTTGTTGATGCGGCTTTCTTCAAAGGATTGAAAACAAAAATGAAATTCAAAAAAAAAAAGACCAGGAGTTTTTTTCCTTGCTGATGAATTTCAATTATATGTATATATATATTTCAGATTTGAAGAATTTTAAAAAAACAATAGCTTTTCGTCGTTATTAAAATATGATTAAATTATCATTTAAATTAAGTGAAATTTTTTTTATTTCATTTAAACATTAAATTTGCATAGTTAACAAATTTGCAAATTTTCCGTTACAAAATTGTAATAAATGAAAACTTTAGTTACTGATATTTATCATTTTCAATTTTTATCTTCTTTCTGGTGTTTCTAACTGTACTTTTTAAAAGGTTTGCACAGAATATTTACTTTCACCTTGTCAAAAAATTGCTCACTTCTAAGATTTTTATCATCGATGCATTTCTTTTCTTCGTAGTTACGCAACATGATTTATTTAATTTGTAATATTATAGTTTACTATTATTATTCATATTCATATTACTGTTATTAATTATTGTTGTTAATATTATCATTACTATTGTTTTTACTATGATTACTATTGTTATTATTATTATTATTATTATTATTATTATTATTATTATTATTATTATTATTATTATTATTATTATTATTATTATTATTATTATTATTATTATTATTATTATTATTATTATTATTATTATTTTATTATTATTATTATTATTATTATTATTATTATT